CCTGCTGAAATGTAGTGAAGGGCATTTCATGCTTAATGTTGGCTGCCTGCAAAATTAAAAGCAATGATTAAATATCTAATAATCCTAAGAAATGAGAGAGAGAGAGAGAGAGAAAGCTCTCACTTCAATTTAGCATCTATGAACTAGAAACTACCATTTCTTTGCTTTTGGCAAACTCTAAAACCACTATTAGTTTTTTTCATTAACACACATATCAAAACTGAAGACAGGCCAGAACAGTTACTTTTCTGGGAAACTATTCCTGACTGCTTGATAAAGTAGAAAGCTTTGGATAACTTACCATTCTTAACCCCATAATGAATCAAATCAAACTACTTTGAAATGACACAACGTACAATATAAAACACACAACCATATCTCTATTGCACAATTTTTATTCACATACATGCAAAAATTAAACATCTAGCACTGTTCATTCGAAAGAAGATGAAGAAGTCACAGTGTATGACCGAGGCAAGAGTTTTAGTGGGTGATATCATTTATTGGACCAACTGCAAGGGTGGGATAGATTTAGACAAGCTTTGGGGCGCATCAGAGAACACTTCCTCAGGTCCAAAAAAAGATACCACTTACAAAAAACTCTTGCTACTCACCTATACCCTGGACCATCACAACTAACAAAAATCACTTCAACACTACCAGTGTATATGGCAGTCATTCAAAAATGAAACCAGAAGATACAACCAAAAGCAAAAACAAAAACAAAAACAAAAATAAGGCAAAGCAGAATGATACGGAAACTACAGGTCATCTCGATTCAAGTAGCTCTACTCTAATTGGGATGCAGGTGTCCAGAGGCTGCAATGGAAACAGGGGGGCTTGCTTTGGTTTCTAAACTGAAATTTTACACATTATTTCAGTTCTCATTGATCACTAAAGTTAGGGATCCAGGGGATCTTGTTCTTGGAATGAACAGTATTTAACACAAAATATCTGACCCCATTAAAATTTCTGCAAGGGCTTTAATTGACAGTGCAAACTCACACTAAATAGAACTGACCTTACCAAAATATGCTGATTGAAAAACACCAGTCCTTTCCTAGACAAGCTACCATGTTACCCCTCCAAAACAAAACCCTCCCAGCCAAACAAATTTTAGCAGAATGGAAAGATGTTATATTCTTCTGCAAACATCCCTATTTATATAATTCAAATATCAGCAGGTATAAGAATGTTATTTTCAGTTCAGAGGAAAGATAATTATGCCATGATAAGTTTGTTTTGCTATGAAAAACACACAGCACTACAGGCGCACAAATATTAAAGATAAATGATTTAATACGCAGCTCATTCTAATGTTTCCATGGAAAGAGTTTTGGCAGTTGCTTCAAGAACAAAACTGGAACGGTTACTTTAAAAATGTAAATAGTAGAAAGCATTACTCATTTTGGATTTCTTGACACACAGCCAGATGACATGTTACCAAGAAAATCTGCCTCACCACTGTCTTGGAAAGCAAAGCACTCTACATGTAAACAACTGGAACTAAGACGAAAGCTACAGACAGTATAAATTTGGTTGTGATAATGATGAGTATGTTTGAAAATCTCCTAAGAATAGACAGTAAGTCCCTACTTAAGAGCCTGATCCTGAGAAGTTCAGAGTGCACTTGTCGCCATCACAGCTACCTGTAGGACCAAAATTTGTATATTACCCACACACATGCACCCACACACAATTACTTTAAATTCAAAGTCAAGCATTCAAAACTAGGGAGTATCAGTATTAAGGAGTATGCCCAACCAGACCTGGTTCAGTACATGGGGGCAAATGAGAGCTCCTCTACATGGGCAGGTAAAGGCAGGATGGGATCTAATGCATGATCCACACAATCACACCTCCCACCATGCCACACATGCATGGCAGGAGGTGCAATTTTGGGACAGCATGTTAGATCCCTTCACATCTTATCAGTGGTGCAGGGGGAGCCCAGGATCACGTGCATCAGTTCCCATGCCTGCATGCCCCACTGCCAATGCTGGCTGCAGGGCTTGCAGGGGGGCTGCAGAGAGAATGCTGCCACTGCTGAAGCCACACAAGGTGTGGGGCTTGCAAAGGGGGCAGCGGGAAGAAAACTGCTGCCACTGCACATTTTGTGAGGTGCATTCTCCCCGCTGCCCCTGCTATAACCGTGCAGCCAATGAGGCTGCCCCTGCTGTAATCCCCACAGCTGACAAGGCTCGCAGTTGCCAGCCATGTTCTCCCCACTGCAAGTCCCACAGGACAAGGCTCACAGCAGCGGCACCACTGCAAGCCTTGTCAGCTGGCAACAGGTGGTGCAGCCCTGTGGCTGAGCCCCTAAGTTGATGGGGCTCCCAACCACAGGGGAACACTTGGACACACGTTCAGTTAGGCTAGGCAGACATTCAAACAGCCCGAGCCTGAATTGACTGAATTTTTGCAGGTTAGTCTAACCTGGCTAGGCTAAATCAGTTTTGTAACCAGACAGACATCCCAGAAATGCAGGCACATGCCTGCAGTGACTCACACTATAAACCAGGGGGCACTACAGTAGCCCTCCCTTCCCTTGCACAGGACTGAGCTGATGGGGGCGTGGCCAGGCCTCGGCAAGATGCTGTGATTAGGGAGTGTTTCCCCTCTCCTGAACAGCCCAGCTGAGAATGTTTATCACTCTTAACTCAGTATTTATCACCCCATTAAGAAAACAGAAGGACGTTACCAGCTACCTGTTGACTCTGCCTTTGTTCCTTGTGCTACAGCTCATAGGTAGCCAGCATGTGGTCTGATAGCTAATGCTGAGGTGTCTGTGAGGGATGGGGAATGCCTGCTTAGCAGAGACTGAGGAGGGGGAGCATAAGCCAGGGCAGATGCCTGCAGAGACTGCCAAGCTGCAGCCAGAGAACAAAGGTGAGGGGTCAGCCCTGCTGGGGAGCAGAGAGCCCCGCCCAGCCCAGAGAGCATGCCGGGATGCTGGGGAGTCTGGTTTAATTTAAATCAGCAAGGGGTCTGGGATAGACATTGCATAAACCAATTTGAGCCAAATCAGTTAAGTCTGATACTACATTCAACCAGTTTCAGCCATTCTCAAACTGGTTTAGATGCACTGAGCATCTGTTCTGTTACAGGTTTAAACCAGTTTCTGATCACTTAAACCAGTATAATGTCTGTCCCTAGCCTTAATGGCATGCTTTGCACAACCTAAAAAGTTACTACACATCTTTGTGGATTAACTATGGAGCTTATTGCTTGTTTTATCAAACCATTAATTGGTTGGACACATAGCTGGGTCATAAATTAAGACATGATTAACTGGTTAATTATGCCTTAAGTGCACTATGTAGAAGGGATCACAATGATTATGTCTCCTTGTTTCCTCTCATCGTTGAATGTCTTAGTTATCACAATAGATTTGGAGTAATATTGTAGCCATAATGGTCCAGGAAATCTGTGTGATACAAGGAATTTTTTGGTGGTATCTTTCACTGGACCAACTGTATCAGAAGCATAGCAGAGTAGCTCCATGCCCTGGGCAGTAGGTGTGCACAAGGCAGCACTGGCTGTGAAGTGCCAATGGCAGTGGCAGCTACTTTTGCAACCTTCTTTCCTCTACCTCTCCCCTCCCCTCCCTCATGTTGGAGCCTGGGTCCACTGCACCAGTCATGCCCCTACCCCCTGTAGTTTTGCTGCTGAACTGTATAGTTAGCTCGGAGAGATGCTAAACAAGCTATTGGACACATAATGCCCTTCTTCCAGTCTGGGAAACAAGCAGACACAACTTGAGCTAAATAACAGTTAAAACAATAGCCTGTGTTTTATAGATTCATAGATGTTAGGGTCGGAAGGGACCTCAATAGATCATCGAGTCCGACCCCCTGCATAGGTAGGAAAGAGT